ATACATATAAGTACTTTCAGACACAAGAACAGAATTCAATAACGAACTTACAATTGGTCTTAGGGTTTAAGACTGCTTTTCATTACTTAAGAAAATATTGGATTTTCTTGGAAACATACAAACATTTTCATGGATTCATCAACAGGTTTTCATTACAAAAACATGCTTATGAACTCACCGGCTTTATGCTGATACTCTTTCAAAACTGCTTGTATTCTCAGGAAATCAGTAGACAGGTATCACCTGGAGTTTTGAGAAGACGGAGCATGTAGAGTCGCGTCCTTACATTTTACTTATACTTTTGATGTATGCAAACAAGACTTAAACAGATGTAAACCTTTTTCATATATGTATTCAATGTAATGGTTGTGTTTACTATGATTGCTATGATACAATTGTTGTGATACTACACATGACGTCCTCCACCCTGAACGTTTCCGCCATTCCGGTTTGGGGGTGTGACAACTCAATACAAGCACATAAGACCCTTCGGTCACGCAAAGATTACCACTCTAGGTAAGTATAGTGAGAAGACTCACCTCGTAAGCAAAAAAATACACCTCGTACACGAATCACTGATCTAGCCTCCGCCTAACACATATGATGATTATCTCTAATTAGCACTTCAATCACAACTCTAAATAAACCAAGCTATTTTCTCTCTCTAACTCTTTGGATGGGTAAAAAACCTTTTCACCCCTCCATGGTTCCCATAATCCCTGTCTTGACCAAACCCTAAAGTCAACATAAGTCAACACTCGAGTCAACAGCCCATGTTGACCCGACACGCCGAGTATAGCTCATTAACTCGTCGTGTCTCCCAGAACTCAGTACATCGTGAAGACCCGCGTCAACTCACCGAGTTGCTAGCCAACTCGTCGAGTCCATGCAGTGTCTAGAAGACCAGGAAAACCCCACCTACTCGTCGAGTTGTCCCATCAACTCGTCGAGTCCATTCTGAATCCAAAGACGGGTAAACCCCGTTCAACTCGTCGAGTTGTCTCATCAACTCGCCGAGTCCGTAACAGGTCCAAACCATCAGGGTAAACCCTAATCGACTCGTCGAGTTGTCTCATCAACTCGTCGAGTCCCTTAAGTCTATTTTCTCATTCAGACGATTTTGGATAGAAATAAGGTCTCATACTCTGGATCTAGCCTCCTAAGGCTGAATCATCACGTAAAGTTACAAGCTTTACGTTCATGCATGGCATATAGGGCTCAAAATGCCAAAACAAGCTCCATAAAGGTCTTTATGCTTAAAGACCTGCCTAAAGCTTGATAAAGCTCGAATCTTTGGTCTCATAGGGACTCATATAGCTCAGATCTGTAGTCTCAACTTCCATGACCAACTCAACAACTCCAAACCAAAAGATGGATGGGATAAAGCCCTAAAACTCTCTAGAAAGAGAAATAACAAAAGGAATGATCAAGGAGATAGCTTTTTACCTCCAATTGACAGCTAGCACTGAAAGAACACTAGATCCAAAGCTTCTTCTCGTTCCAAACCTCCTTGCTCTTCAATCCTCTTCTAAAAATGCACTTGAACACAAGATATTTAGCCTTTCTCTCTCTCACAACGACTACAACTCGTCTAAGGTTTCTCTCAGTGTGTCTAAATGGTCAGGGATGCGGAAATGAGGGCTTAAGGGCCTTTAAATAGGGTGCAAGCCCTAAAATTAGGGTTTTCTCAATACAGACTCAACTCGTCGAGTCCAGCCCTTCGACTCGACGAGTAGGCTTCATAACTCGCGTGGCCAGCTCAGCCCCTACACGACGAGTCGGGACCAACCAACTCGTCGAGTAGGTCCTCCACAGTACATTATAACTCTTAAATTTCTCGTCCAGGATTCGGGGTGTTACAAAAGTACGAATCCTTAATCCCATGCAGAAAACCACTTCTCCCTTCTTCGAAACCTGAAATCTCAAATTGGTTTAACTCCCCGACAGACCGCCCATACTGAGCCACTACCATGCCAATTCATCATTGAATTCTAGACCAAACAAAACACTTCCAACCCTTGATTTTCTTGATGCTTCCAATGAGAACAAAATCACTGACCATATAATGTTATAGAACACTTAAACTTAACAGAAGGCTCAAATAATCCTTCGAGTAGAATATTCATCCCTGCAACGGTTAGACTCAAACGAGAGTTGGGCAACAGGTTCAAATCAGTTACTCTGATATTATTTAATCCAAATTGCAAGTGACTTAGCATATTCCTCGATTAACAAGCGACTCCACACACGAATTCCCAAATCACTAATACCACCCCGACTCATATTGATGCCCCCTAGTTGCTTTCCAAAAGCAACCAAGACCTCCCTAGTCCCGCTTTTCTGCCAACTAACTGAATCACCGGATTCCCGCCCGGTTGCTGAGTCAAAAGACACACACAGTCGCCCCACGCGACTTCTGAAAGAAAACCTCATATGGCAATAATTGTCCAAACTATCTCGCTGCTTATGGCTCCAACTGATCATATCATCCCAACAAACTTGACGCCATCAAATCCAATGCTAAAAGTGAATGCTACACGACCAATTGTAGTCTTATATCACAACCGGTATCCAATGACCTACCACTTCCTGATTCCATGCATTTATGGCCTTCCCACAGTCTTACAAACTGACCCACCCTGGTCTAATCCGTCTGAAGAAATCCGTGACCAGATTACTTCCTTGGCATCAATTTACTAAGTGGCATGGAACCTCATTTATGATTTTGAAATTTTAGATGACAGATTGCATCAATCATTAACGCCCAAACTCACTTTTTATTTATCAAGTGCGAAGATTAGAGTTTTAAGGTTCTTATGATTACATATAGTTTTTGTAAGTAATGAATCTACCGAATCATTATTGATGAAAGAAGGATTCTTGAATTTAGAGTTTGGCCGCAGATGCTTATGGAATATTCATAGGTATAACAAATTTTTTGTAACTTAATATAATTTTATATTTTTGAGAAATAATGTATTTCTTTTGTATATTAATGCAGGTTAAAATATGAAGATATCATAACATTATGATGTGCAATTGAAGTCGATTAACCCAATACATGCATATATAAGTGTGACCAAAATAATTAGGGTTTTTTTCTTTCTATTTAAGTGATGTACATAGATTAACCAATTAAAAAGTAACATGATGCCTAGCTATTTATTTATAATTAAGCGATATACGTATATTTTAGCTAATAAAAATGTAACACGATTAGTGACCTAAATATATCATAAAATTTATTATTTATAACTTGTTTATATTGTTTCTAATATTATAAAATTATAAATATTTTTAATTCAGATATAAAATAGAATAAATTTCACAATTATCATTCTGTTTTTGTTTACAACTTACTAATAAAATCAATATTTGTTTGTAATTTATTAAGCTTATTTATTATTACAAAGTATAATCAATACTAAATTATGAATTACTTACTAGCCGTCTACCTACACAATGCGATATACGACAAATAATTTGAGTCGACAGTTAATTTTTGTTCGGGACAAAAACCATCGGACGACAAATGCTTTATTTTGATGATTAATTTGAGTGTTTCGATGTATTTTCCTTTTTAAAAGGCTTAACAATCATTACATAGAGTTTCAAAGCATAAAATAATACACTTATATTTATTTTAATAATGTTTTTAGTCTTTAGCAAACCTTTGATTAAAATAATTTAGATGAATCATTATGAGGCATCATAATGATTCAAAAAAGAAAAAAAATGGTGATGCTATAACGAAAATTATATGAACGTACCTTGTTATTTCTTATAGTTAGCCAAACGTATGCAACAATAATAATAAGATGAATCAATAAGAACCACCTTGTTATTTCTTATAGTTTTGCCAAAAGTATGAAAATATCGTAATAAGATGCATCAATATGAACCATTTCAACGATAATGACAAGGCGAAGTAGAATGCTATAACTTTCAACAAGAACGTATTAATAATTAAAATTAAAATGATATAAAAATATTTGTATTAAATTAGAAAAATGGTATTATAGACAGTTTTTGATAATAAGGACTAATAATATTAAAAATCCAAAAACATGACCAAATTTGTGATAACATTTATAAAAGCCATAATTAATTTCCGAAATAGTGATTATTGTTTAGGCATAAGCAGATTTAGCCATTTAGGTATAATTTTAAAAGACCAATAATAACTTATGACAATATAAAATGGCCAGGGATTGAATCGTTGAATATCCAAAACTTGAAATCATATATGTTTATGTGTTGCCTCATTTTGAATTTAGTTACTTATGAAAAATAATAAAATATAATGACATTTTCCATATTGAAAAAAATATATTATCGCCTAATATTCCTACTTTAATAAAAGAGTACATGTTAGGTGGTGTTTGTTTTTTGTCCGCAGATCTTCCTGACATCTTCTGTCTGCGCGGCGCAGATCACGCGCACACATTAGCCTTCGCAGATTGTTTGTTTTTTTGAAAACCGCAGAACTAAAAATGTCTGTGCGTCCTCTTCTTGGTGCAGATGTGGACCAGAGTCTTCTAACATCTTCAGACATCTTCTAGCCTAAAAAAACACATATACTTTATTTATTTATTTAGTTTTTTTGAATTTATATTTATTCCAACTTTATTAGTGATAAACAATTTGAAAAAAAAAGTTACAATGCTTAAAAAAATAGTTCGACGACACAAACATGATATTTTTGACAAATTTATAAATAAAATATTATTACAATAATGGTCGTTGAAATTGTTTATATAAACTAGATAGGAAACCCCGCTTCACGGGGGTCAGATTCGCCACTAATATCAAAGAAAACCGACTGAAGAAATTATGTAAAAGATGGTGTCATCGTTTATTAGCCGTTTGTCATTTAAGTAGGATGCTATAGTTGGTTGACTATGAAAGTATGATGCCTAAAAATGAAATAAAGTAGAAGTAAACTGAGATCCATTCTCTTTTTAAAACACATATGTTGGATTCTTAAAGCTACACAGACAAACAAAAACACAGATTCAGAATTTAAGTATAATGATTAAATAAGGAATCATTTGAAAACATAGAAAAAATCAGAGTATAACACGAAAATGACACCGAAAATTAGCCTCATTTACACATTGTGGGTATGTTGATTTTTCATCTGCTTTTATCTATAAATTTCTTTTTCCGGCTAATGTCTGCGTACCATTGCTCATGTTATCCTTGTTCTTCTATCCTTTTTGAGTCTTCTTAAAAAAAATCTCGGAAACAAACAGATATGTACCCAGATTGAATTTATGTTGTGTTTTAATATTCGATGTTTGTGACTGATCTGTGATAGTTTAAATTCAGATCAATTCAAATCAAGCCCTATCATAGTCTTGAGTTCATGTGCTTTAGGACCAAACCATTGACCAACAATTTCTACAATCTCTTTTGGTGACTTTGAAGATTCCCACATCCATTTTCCACTACATAGGGTACATTTCCAACTTCCTGCACAATATCAGATTTTTAAGGTGTTGAGACAAAAATGACCATTTTACCCTTGCATTCTGAAATCAACTTTAATAACAAAATTACCTGCTCAGCAATGTAATCGTTTACAATGATGGGGAGACCTCGGATCATGGCTTCTGCAATTGTGCCTGGACCAGCCTATGAGAAATAAAAACTTCAATGGAAAAGTCAACGTTGACTTTTAACTTTTTAAGTGTCAAAAAAGTAATATTATAACTTTGAAATTGGAAAGAATTATATTATTTGTGCATAGAGAATTGATTTGACTAATGGTTAAATGCTTATTTATGCAGCGATGTTTCACTTTTTTACCAGTTTATAAAACATTTTTCATATTTTGTACTATTACTTTTCGATTAACTATTATAACAATAGTTCAAGATAAACTGAGAAAATATAATAGTTAAGTGAATTTTGAGGGCTATGAATTTTGAACAACATATTTTCACCATCTTACCATGAAATCGTAACAAATTAGTTTCAGGTCTGTGAATTTTGAACAACATTGTGCCCTCCAGGAGATTGTGTACAACAGAAAAACATGGCAGACCTAAAATCAAAAATTGCAAAGATATGATTTTTTTTGTGAATTTAGATATACACACACAGACATACCTCATTACAGAATGCGTGCTAATAATCTGAGGACCAGGGACTTTGGTTGTGCCCTAAGAAAAAAAGACGGACCCTTTGCAAAATTGATTATCTATGTTGGCTTTCTTAATCTGCATTTATAGAAAAAAAAAAGATATATATATATATATATATATATATATATATATATATATATATATTCAAAAGATTGTAATGAAATGAGATTTCGACTAAAAAATCAGATGACAATGTACTTTAGGAAAACTACCCGGTTAGTACATGCCACTTTCATTTTTAATTTGCTTATTTGCATACAGGCCCCAATCCAATAAAAATTCCTTTTTAACAGAAAATGGTTTCAACAGATCAATATGATCATATTTCATCAAATGTTGTTGGTTTTTATTGATAAATTAGTTAAACTTTGTCGACAACACATTCTTTTTGTGCCAAAAGATCACCTCATTATAGGATTTTATGAGAAAAGTGAAACAAATTATAACAATTATTGCATCTCACCCTTGATCACCTTTGAAGGAATCACACATTTGCACCCCTCCTATTTTCCATGAAAACTTTATCCATTGTCTCTGTCTTTAAAGTAGTCTGGTACACACCCTGCACACATATCCCTGTATAAAAAAAAATCACACCAAATAATATGTTCAGTTTGTGAAACGGCTTGATCATTACCCAAACATAAATCTTTTGTTATTGTTCCTTTGTTCTTGTTTTTTGTTTTTACAAAACATTTTTTTGTCCCCTGCTTCAATCACCTAAAAATAAGATAACAATACTAATGCAAATTCCTAAAATACCCCTGAAAAAATTCTAACAACATACCTGGGGTTTCTTGAATATTTATGGCGGGACATTGACAACAGGTTTCAGCACAACCCTACACCCTTCCATTACATAAAAAAAAAAAACACATTGTTTGCTTAAACGGCTGTAAAAGACATCTTGAAAGATTATATTTTTGTTTCTGTTGCATGGCCTTCTTCACCAGGTCTAACAATTTCACTGATCCAATCGAACAATAACTTATATATATTTGCAACTGAAGATTGAAAATGATTAAACACCAACAAATGAGAGAACCTACCACTTAAAACCTATAAATTTGTGTTTGTTGTAGAAAAGTCATGTCATAAAACCAAAGTTGAGATAATCGGATGGGGTATTTGACAAATTCCAACAGCTAAGATAGAGATTCAGAGAAAAGAATCATAAACATGAAATTAGCAGACAATAAAGTAAGCAATAGTTGTAAGCCTGTGGCAGCGATATAGAATCAAAGAGAACGACAAAAATCCATGATAATTTTGCATTTTAATATGGCAAAAGCCTTGACCTTTACAAAGTCAAAAAAAAATTCCTCTTAGGGGATTATGCAAAAGGGTAATTTTTTTCACAGATTTGTTGGCCGAATTATCACCAATTAATCGAACTATCAATCAATTGATTAATTTACCAAAAAAAAGAAAACAAATAAAACCTTAGAAATATCGTGTGTAATTATAGATATCAGGAGAAAACATGGTAGAGACAGAAGGAACGATCGAATCATTCCTCTTCGGTTCTGCATTCAAAGCCTTCATCGTTGCAGATCGTTTCTCGAATAAATTGAAAGTTGTTGGCATTCAATTCGACTGATGGGTCTATTGGGAATTGCTTGAATTGAAATGAACAACTGAAAAAAAAGTAAATAAAAAAAATTAATTATTCAAACCCATGAACAAAAATCTTAATTCAAAACAAATCCCTAAAGATTAACACACATAAAAAAATTAAAATCAATAGCTACTAACCTCACCTAGACCTTAGGTCGTAAACCTAAACCATATACTTGAATAGCAGTGTAAGGATAAAACAGATGGTATTTTAATATCCTGCACGGCTGCACCATAAAAGTTTTATGTTCTAACAGGACTTTCATCAAACAACTTATATGCATAATTCAAAATAACAAAAAAGGTTATTTTCACAAAGAAATATTAGCATGGATTCATGGAGGAGAAGCAAGGTGGAGCCAGCACATCAAAATTAGATAAGTTTCAAAAACAACACCTAAATTTTACCTGATAACTGTAAACTTTTCACTGGAGACTTACCTACACCGATTCCGATTCCAAAAACAAAAGTGATATCGACCTCCTTTAATCAGTCTGCACCGACCGCAACCTGAACAGAAAACCACTCTTGTTTGCAGAAGGCAGTGGAGCAGTCGAACAGACGTGATGTAGGGCGAAGGAGAACATGAGCACAGAGCAGTGAGAGGGAAGCAAATGGATTGGGGAAGATCGGCATATCTATACAGGACCAAAATCTGGAAGCGAGGTCAGCTTGGGCGGTGTCGACAGTGGGGATGGCGGCGCTGGGCAATCGCCTGTGTGAGGGCCGACGATCTCACCGGAGAAAGATGGATCAGATGGGATGGTGGAAAAGTGAAGAAGAAAGAATTTGACATACCTAAAGAATAAAAAAAGAGAATGGATTCAATCAGTAACCTTCGTTCATACCTCTTCTCTTTGGGTGGGTCTGCAAACAAACGTAGGTTTGTTGATGAGAAAGGATTCAATGAAGAATAGAAGAAAAAAGAATGTGGTTGGAAGTACAGAGCAAATTCAGAGAGATATCACTTGTAGATGTGGAGTGAGAAAGGTGTCGACAACAAGGAAGGGTTAGGCGAGGTGGAGGATGTGCAGACACCGAAACCGCACTCTCTTCCCCGCCCATGTTATTTTTTACCACTCAAATGTGGTTTCTTGCCAAGTGGTGCCACACATTCTTTTTTTTTTCTTTTAAACTATTTTAATTTAATAAAACATTTTTTTTTTAACTATTTTAATTTAATAAAACTTCTGTTTTAATAAAAAAACATAATTTTTCATTACTTGAAAATTAAAAAAAAAACATTACATTGCATTACAAACCCATGTTATTTTTTACCACTTAAGTGTGGTTTCTTGCCAAGTGGTGCCATACATTCTTTTTTTTTTTCTTTTAAACTATTTTAATTTAATAAAACTTCTTTTTTTTAACTATTTTAATTTAATAAAACTTCTGTTTTAATAAAAAAAACATAATTTTTCATTACTTGAAAATTAAAAAAAAAAAACATTACATTGCATTACAAAAAAAAAATTAAAAAAAAAACACGAAAACCACACACATGACATTTAAATAATCCTAGAAACTTAAAAAACACAAATAAAATAACTAAAGCAAACTACATAAAGTCGTTCTCCGAGAACTCGTTTTCGGGGTCATCCGGTGGATCCAAATTAAGGTTAATGTTTTGAAACCCGTAAATGTGTTCCACCAAGTCATTGCGAAGATTGTGAAATGTTTCCGTGCAACGTATCTCTGCTCTCCTGTTTATATACTCTTCGCCACCAATTTATATTGGCTGTGTCTCTGGTATGGTTTCTTCCTCGTCAAACGCACATATCGCTCTTCCTTCGTCTTCAATAATCATGTTATGCAATATAAGACATGTATACATGATTTCTTGAAGTTTTTCCTCGCCTAAATAAGCTGCTGGTTTTTTCAATATGAACCATCGTTTCTTCAGAGCTCCAAAAGCACGCTCAACATCCTTCCTAGCTCTTTCTTGAGCTCTCTTGAATTTCTTTCGTCTAGAACCATGTGGAGCTATAAACGATTTAACAAACACAGCATACTCAGGATAGATTCCATCGACCAGATAATAACCATACTTATATGGCGTTCCACGCACTTGAAAAGAAGAATCTAGTGCGGATCCATCGTATATGTTGTTAAATATTAGTGAACGATTAAGAACGTTGATGTCGTTAATCGAACCAGGAGAACCAAAAAAGCATGCTAAATCCACATATCTTGTGATGCAACTGCTTCAAGTATGACCGTTGGGTGACCATGATCACCTCGAGTAAATTGTCCATGATATGCTGTAGGGCAATTTTCCCATGCCCAATGGAGACAATCTAAGCTTCCTAGCATTCCAGGAAACCCATGCACACTAGCATGATGAGCTTGCAATTGCAGGATGTTATTACGTGTAGGCTTACGTAAATATTTTGGACCATAAAACTGAATCACAGTTTTGCAGAAAAAATGGAGACTGTCTCGTGCTATCCTAGCAGACATCCTAAAACTTTCGTCTAACGCATCAGGCGGAATGCCATATGCTAACTGACGCAGTGCGACCGTGCATTTTTGTAAGGGAGTGAAACCGGGTGTACCTCTAGTATCGTAGCGTTGTTGGAAAAAACTGCACTCCCTCGTTACATCTTCAACTATACGTTCGAATAAACCTTTGAGCATTCTGAAGCGCCTACGAAAATAATACCCTTGATAAGTGGCATTCTCTGCAAAATAGTCTTGCACCAAACGTTGGTTGGCTTCTTCACGATTTCTGCAAATATATCTTCGTGTTCTCCGTTGAGAACTTGCAGCTGCGTTGTTACATACAACGTTGTATGTTTGTTCCGCCATTTGAACACACGCAATAGCGGTATCAAAAATAGTCTGAAATTCTTCAGAAGATGAAGAAGATGACATTTTTGAGAGAATGTTGATTTTTTTTAAAAAGTTTTTTGAGAGAGACAAGAGATTGTGTTGTGAAAAAAAATGATGTTAGATATGTATATATAAGAAAGAAAAAGCAAAATAAATAAATAAATAAATAAATAATTGTTAAATACCTAACAACCGGCGATCCTCCCTTTTTTCCCCTCAACCAATCAGAAAGCGCGGCACTTAAGGACCGCAGTGCGGTCTGGGGGCGGTGTTCTTGGTCTACGTGGCACAAAGTGCGGTCTGGGACCGCACCCACACCCTTCAACCTTATACCCAAGAAAGATTAAGGCGGTGAGTTTTCTGACATAAGAGAGACAAAAAGAAATTAGCTAATGACACTGATCCTAATCTGATTGGATTACATGGGCGGTGAAGTACAATAGAAGTAATACGTGTGCAGGTCTAGTTTTAAAAATGGCCTAAAAGGACCCCTGAAAAAGAAGGAAATAAACAGACGACATTTAGAAAACATACATAACCTTAGGGACCCATCTTGCGAAACACTTAGGAACTTTACTGTTCCTAAGTTGAGACATTTTTAATATATATTAATATATAAAAAATATATATTCTTATATTTTTTGTGCAAATTTTATAAAACATTATTTAATAAACATCGTCAATTTCTTAGAAAAAAATATTTATGACACGTCTTTAATTGATCTAATTGAAAAAATTGAAGATTATTTCCATTCATTTATATATAAAATTCTTTGATTCCTAATTACAATGTTTAGACATAACTTTGCGACCAAAATTGTTGGTTTTTATCAAGTATAGACGTTAATTTGTACCATTTTTATTTTCACTATCTATATAATAATACATAAAAGTTGATTTAGATTTGTTAATTATTTATAACAATGTCATAAATATATTAAAAAATCACTTTGTAGTTAAAACAAATCAGTTTATTTTAGTAGACTGCAGATGTTAAAAAAACAAACAGTCTTCTTTTTTCAGACTGCAGATGTTTGGTCCACCTCTTCTGCTGCAAAGGTCTACAGATGTGGTCCGCAGAGTGCAGACATTTTGCCTCAGAAAAAACAGACAACACCTTAGTTTACGTGGTTTTTTCTTCGGCTCCACCATTATACTATTCCCACTCTTATGGTCAATATGTATTACCCAAATTGCCCTTATGCATCTATTTTTTTTTTGAACCGACGAGATATCTCCGCAAGCGTACCGGGCTCTAGTAATGTGGATCTAGTAATGGGCAAGCCCACTCTAATAATGTGTGTATCTTATAACTTGTCGTAGATGTAAAAAGATAAGAAAATACAATCTATTAACATATGTTTAGGGATTTTAAATTCTAAATTTAAAGTAAGTGTTTTATTTTTAATATGACAGATTTGTTCCATATATTTAGAGATTTTAAATTTAAAGTCTTTAACATTTTCCAATCCAATTATTAAAATTTTTACTTCGCTTTTAGGGTTGTAAGCAACAGAGTAAAACCTTAGGATTTAATGCAGATTTATCAGTTTTCCAAAAGTAATGGAAAACGATAAACGCAAAGCGAATACTCAGAAACAGAAGAAAGTTGCGACTTCTTAAGAGATTGGAGAGAGCTATGAATTTCGGTAGTTTAAATGGGACCTGGGAGGTCCTATTTATAGTCGACGAAAAACCCTCGAGGTTCCTTGAAGATCGTACCTGATGACTAAGTTGGCCCACTTATAGTCTGGCACACGTGTAAGTTAAAATTTGAATCAAATATCGATATCTGTATCTGAGTTTAAACCTAAAATCTATCTAATATCTCCAGAGGATTCTAGAAGGTTCTGTTCCCTCATCCATAAAGTCACCGACGGTCAACTCTAGGTCGGTCAAACCGACTTCACCCGAACTCGTCAAAAATAAAAGCTCATCAGCTCCCAACGACATAGCATCGTGCCAAGTGCCAAGTGCGCCTAAATGGCGCCAATTCATGCACTCGCACCATGGCTTAGCTAGGCTAGGCACGCGTGTGTGAGTTTAGCCCAACTATTGATCTACATAAAGCCATTGAATGCCTATCAAGATAATAAGCTTATAAACCCACAAAAGTTTCTTTCTCCCACCAATATATGATAGAAGGAAATTACCAAATTACAATTATCCTTCATAATTTCCACGAGGATGGAGGCACGCGTAATAGGGCATGTCATCATATTACTTGTGGACATCACACTCATAATACAACAAACAATGATCAGTATAGGAGCATCTTCAAATTGCGTTAATGCAGTTCTCGGCTTCTTTGCATTCGTAAGTATATTTGAGTATTGTGGAGTTTTTTACCGGTTAATTGTAGTTGTAAAAAGTATTTACCTACTTCTTGTAGTTTTTCTAATTTATTTACCAAATAATTGTATTTTTTATTAATATATAAAATAATTACACAAATGGTTCATATCTCTCTCGTCTTCTAACCTCACAACTTCCCCACACATTCTTTTCCTCCATTACCGCCGCCAACCGCCGCCTTACTTCCATCTTGTACACCATACAACCACTTCTGTTGCCCTAGTTGTTCACCACCGCTACCTCGTTCTTCTTAGTTGTTGCTTATTAAACCTTCTGATGTGTATTTTAATGCACTGGTTTTTTATTTATAATTCATAGTCTATCACATCTATACCACACCTTACTGGCAGTGAACCAGATCGAGTATAATATAGTTTTGATAAACAAGAGTGTCGAACTCAAGGGGAACGTTAGTGAATTAATATTAGAACTTTTTATTATAGATTATATTAAATAAATGAAAGCAGTAAAAAGAGGGGTTTTATTATTAAATCTCAAACAAATAACTAACGAACTAGATAAACTGATTGGAAACGAATCACTTCAGGTACTTAAAATCATGGTTAAATTCGTCAATAGTGCAATGGATTTATTAGTTGGTTATCGAATTTCAAATGTGACTAGTTATCTTGATTGGATTTCCAAGTACTAATAAATAACAAACAACTAACACAATGATCATGTAATTAGTGAACACATAACTAATTTAATGTATATTCAGAATATGAAAGATATAATCTAGTGATTTCTCATCAATAATCATGACAATCAATCGAATCATAGAATAGATATCTAAACTCTCTAACATAGTCAAAATCACCAATTAATATTACATAACCCTAAGATTTGTTCGATCACTAGTCCTAACAGTCTAGACTCTTTTTCCATACTTTGAAATTTTACTTACGTTTGGAACTAATTTAAGTGTATGATCTTTACTTAATTTATTTACTTTTTTTTATTTTAAATGGTTTAACCAAAGTTTAACTCATTTATTTTATAAGTTGGGTTGGGAACTACATAAACAAATCAATCCGATGACAACCTATTTATCTAAAAGGTTGAGTTGGGTTGGAAATATCAACTTATTTAGATAAAAAGGTTGGGTTGGGTTGAAATCTTCAACCCACTTAATAAATTGGTTGAACCCGAACCTAACACAGATCGACCTATTGTCAACTCTAGTTTAAAGCGACCTTGGAACTAATGACTATTTTTTTTAACCAAAATCGTAAAGAACTACTCGGGATAAATATGTACCTGTGATGCTCGCCATGTATATGGAAGTGTTATGACTATATACTTAATCGTCTTGTATAAGTTTTCAATTTTATATGCAATACATGTCATCGTTTGTCACCCTGCTATGTAATAGCAAAGTGCATCAAGAATTGTCGCTCGCCATGTATATGGAAATGTTGTGTCTATATACTTAATCGTCATGTACGAGTTTCCAGTTTTACACGCAATACATGTTATCGTTTGTCAACCTACTATGTAATAGCAAAATGCATCAAGAATTGCTACTAATAACGATATCTACAAGACGTATAAAAATGTTAATGTTAGTGAACCACTTTAGTAGTTATAAAAATAATATTTACAAATTATATTTAAAAGTACCATGTTGGTTATTTGATCAACTAGGAGTATACGAAGCATATCCATTGTGTGTTTAAGATATAATTAATTTAGTCATGCAAGTTTTTTTAATTAAGATTTAATCAACTTTAATATATATTTGGTTAAATACCTTCAATAGCTGGGTGCATAATATATTCAAGAAGCCCTAGTGAAAGCCACGATGAACTAGACACATGTTTAGAGACACATGAAAAATCTGAAAAGCAAATGGGGGAGAATGTTGGTATATGTTCTAAAGATTGTAAGACGATAAAAACATATGGTAAATGTTATGAAGTTTTTTAATGCGTTTGTATTCATCTAAAACTATATTTTGTTTCCGTAGTATACTTTATTTTCTTTTTGATATACGTGGATTGATGTAAAACTTATGGTTTTGTGTGTTTTAATGTATTATGATTGATCTTCAACTTGTATATCCATGTGTAATTTTAATGTTTATACTTGTAGATGTCAATGTGTGTGTAGGAAAATTTGAAAAAATATGAAAATTATAGAAACAAGTTAAACCAGCAGTCGAACTGGTTGAACCGGAAACCGATCACCATACCGGTTCAACTAAAAACCGGTTTTTTAAAACATTGTTTAAAACATCCAAGCCATTTTGTTAGTGTTTTTTAGTTATATTTGCAAAAAGCATTTTTATAGAGTTCCTTAAAGTTTTATTATAATTTCTTTCAGGGTCGATTTAGACGTAGGGCGACCTAGGCGGCCCTTGGACATCATATTGCATAAGGGCATCAAATTTGGAATAGCTCTAACGACTCAATTAATTTTGCAATTAATTTTTTTGCGTCACGAGTTTGATCAATTTGTCGAGTACGACGTCAATTTCTTCCACGTTTGCCGTGAACCGAAAAAGAAAGGGAAAAATGCAGCACACACAAAAGATGAAAACCATCATAATGCGGAGAACAGCGAACAATTTATCCTATTGTTTCATGTTATATATATATATATATATATATATATATATATATATATATATATATATATATATACACACACACTAGGTCTGAGACCCGTGTACTACACGAGTTATTAAAAATAAAAAATTAATATCAATATTTAAATATTAAATATTTTATAAAATAACATTTTTACATAACATAATGTAATCTTTTGGAATATTTATAAAAGAAATCAAATATTCTTTAGAGCATTTATGAGAATTTATTATCAAATTAATAGAATGATTCTCTTTCCTTATAAAATTCATTAGGATTTTATAGAATTTTATTTTAAAAAAATGAAAATTCCCAAAAAATGACAAGTGGAAAATAATAATTCTAAAACTCTCTACATGTGGCAAAACTCTTGAGAATTTGACAATTGGCAAAAAAAATATTCATTTATTAGAGAGGATATATATATTTACAAAATATATTTTGATAAAGCAGTTTGATAAGCATGTATCCCCCCCTCCCATCGTAAAATCTTTTAAAAACCGTAAAAGTGGGGCCGTGAACTCACCCTAGTAGCGTGATCATGTAGACTCTGGCTGCTGCATCCTAAGCTTCACGCCATCAGGAGGGGTAAAAGAAATGTCGAGCAAGAGAGTATAGGAAGATTTTTGAGGTGTGGAATTTGAGAAGTGAAATCCTCTATTTATAGGGCTTATGCACGCGGCGCACCTTGTGCGCGTCGTGCACACGATTTGTGGCTCCAACCAAAACTTCCCACGTGTCATACTTCAGGTGGTCCACGTCTCTCAAATCTCGATGAATCCTGGTGTCAGATATGTGTGTCGTGCATAACGTGTACTTTCGAACCCAAAATCTCATTTCATGAGTTAACTCATTTCTTAGGCTTAAAAGTCTAAGCATACCATGACAAGTAGCTATAAAGCTCATGATGTTGTTTCAAATCAACTTTCTAAATGTTGTTGGGTCCAATACCACTTGTAATTTGATCATTCCCGGCTATCTTATCCCTTAAAAGAAATGAAGGCATTTCTTTTAAGGTTCAAATCACAAGATGATCCTCATCATGTAGCCATATATTTTGTTTTATTTCTTCATGAAAACTTGGTGCCTCACATTTACTCTTTATAGACCTCGAGTTCCACCTTTGATTTTCACCATTAATCATGTAGTTTCTATCATAAGTGCAACATTCATGTGTCCTTCAACATTGTTGTTTGAGTATTTGGCTCTTCAACCTGCACTTTTTCAGTTTAACTTCTTCTACATCATACTTTACTTCTTCTTATTTCTTGTCCTTTTCGTATGATTACACATCTATCTTTTATATCAGTTGATTTTCACATCAGGAGGGGTAAAAGAAATGTCGAGCAAGAGAGTATAGGAAGATTTTTGAGGTGTGGAATTTGAGAAGTGAAATCCTCTATTTATAGGGCTTATGCACGCGGCGCACCTTGTGCGCGTCGTGCACACGATTCGTGGCTCCAACCAAAACTTCCCACGTGTCATATTTCAGGTGGTCCACGTCTCTCAAATCTCGATGAATCCTAGTGTCAGATATGTGTGTCGTGCATAACGTGTACTTCCGAACCCAAAATCTCATTTCATGAGTTAACTCATTTCTTAAGCCTAAAAGTCTAAGCATACCATGACAAGTAGCTATAAAGCTCATGGTGTTGTTTCAAATCAACTTTCTAAATGTTGTTGGGTCAGTACCACTTGTAATTTGATCATTCCCGGCTATCTTATCCCTTAAAAGAAATGAAGGCATTTATTTTAAGGTTCAAATCACAAGATGATCCTCATCATGTAGCCATATATTTTGTTTTATTTCTTCATGAAAACTTGTTGCCTCACATTTACTCTTTCTAGACCTCGAGTTCCACCTTTGATTTTCACCATTAATCATGTAGTTTCTATCATAAGTGCAACATTTATGTGTCCTTCAACATTGTTGTTTGAGTATTTGGCTCTTCAACCTGCACTTTTTCAGTTTAACTTCTTCTACATCATACTTTACTTCTTCCTATTTCTTGTCCTTTTCCTATGATTACACATCCATCTTTTATATATCAGATGATTTTCACATCCTTTGGTCATGGTTGGGTGACCCATAATGCTCTGAGTCAAAGTCCTATATTTTGTATAAACTTGTTGACGAAAACGTGTACTCACAAGTATACGAGGTCGTGCAAGTAATATAGTCGTAAGACCAGATATCGTACCCACATTGACAATCTATCTTAAAGGAAGATGAATAAGGTAGTTATTAGTAAAAATGAGCCGGTAACCCAGGTAGAAGCAAGTAACTCAAGTAACAGTACCCTGGTCAGGTCCTGTTCCTAAGGGAACTTGAAATTAATATAATATATAATGATTTGGTTTGATTAAACTAAGAAAGCTAACTTTAAAAACTAGAAAAAAATAAATAAAATAAAGCCAAGCAACTAATATTTCTAAACAAGCTAAAGGAAATTCAGGAACTTAATACTACGAACTAAAGTGGCTTAAAGGGGCAAACACACAATTGTGATTTTACAAACAAGAGAAAAACATAATTTAGTTGACATTTAGGGTTCAATGATTCATCTAATGCAATTAATCAATTAACAAATATGTGGTGGTAATAAATTTGTTAACACCATCTAAAGTTATCAATTACCTCTCGGTCTCATGATTTGATTTAAAATCATTCACTCATATCTCTATGCAGTTTATGAAATTACAAACACTGCGTTTAATGGTTTTGTTAAAAATGCACCAATATACATCTATGTTGATTTTAAATTAGATCACGAAATCACGCACTCATGTTCAAATGATTTCCCAACTAAAGCTTCTTTCAAAGTCAAAAGTTGCAATTAAATACGAAATGAGATTCAAATTAACATCTAACATCTATTATTAATTATTGGCTAGAAAATAAACATTCAATTAATTAATTAAATTACATAAAATAATTTAAAGTTAAGCATACATTTGAACATCAAATAATTACCACACAATTTATATCAATTAAATTAAAGCACTAGATTTACCATCTAACCCAAATCAACTAAACCCAAAAGAAATTACTTCATAAAATTAAAACTAGTAGCAATCACGAATTAAGGTTTAAACATTATTTTTCTAAAAGTAATTTTAATTACCACAATATAATGATGTTAGAGAAGATAAATAGAAGTACTCACCTTAATTTCTTGCTGTCATTAAACGTGCACAAAAAAACCGGTTCGGGATCCGAACCGTCTCATAAACCGATAAACCGGTTCACGTTGAACCGATTCAGGAAGAACCGATCCGGTTCGTGAACTGATACGTCGGTTTGGACATGTTCGAGATTTTAGATGTCAGGACCGGTTTAGTGAGAACCGGTTTAGGACTGGTTTAGTAAGAACCGGTTTAGAACTGCCATCATCATATCCTCCTCATCGCCACCTTCCCTCGCCATTTTCACAGCCGACATCCATGCCCACATACTCACCCACCAGAACACTCACTCCCGTCGACCACCTCCATGTAGAAACAAAACACCATCGCCATCAAACACCACCATCATCACCTACCTTCACCATCTCCACCGGAAAAACGAAACTAAACATTAACCCACCACCACTGCCCCTGTTTGCTTTCATCCGCATAAGACATGGCCTGAACAATAGCAAAAGCATGGTTGTATTGTCTATAAACTTTTGCAGAAGCTAGGACCATAAGATGGCATCAGAAGTTAGGACTCGGAGCTAGATGGACCTGATGCTTTTGTATTGACCAAATGATAAAAGGATATGTAGGCAGATGGGTTAGCTATGTATTGCATGACAGGTAAAAGCATGAAGCTATGTGTACGATTGCATGATGGGAAAACATATGGACACTTTTCTGAAGGAAGCAATCAATTTTGAACTATAATCACAAAAAACAAAAAGAAGTCCAATAAACCGGTTTGAAGAACCGCTTTCTTCCTGAACCGGTTTTCAGGGAACCGAACCGGTTTACAAAGTTCGTATATTTTTATTGATGAACCTGTTTAACCTTGAACCAGCGTTGACCATAGACCTGAACCGAACCGGTTTATAAAAAAAACCGGTTTGTGCACATCGTGTGTGTAGCCCATTAAGAAAAATCAGCTTAGCCCAAGAAATGCTCCAAAAACTTTATTTCTCAATCGATCGCTATCCTTTTCCCTCTTCTCAAAATCGATTGTTAGTTCTCATTCCGATCGACAGAAGTCAAGAAATGCTCCGATCGATCACCAAAACCTTCCCTGTTTGATTCAGATTGCACGCTTCTTCTCTGTCCCTCTCTCGAAATCGATTGCAGATGTATGTTTTTCTATCCCACGTCTTTTAGATCGCAAGCCACTTTTTATCTTCTTCTCTCTCTCTTTTTTTTTCTGGCTGTAATATGGTTATGGTGACCGAGCTTAAAAAAATACCACAGAAGTGATTAAAGCTGGTATTTTTTTAAGCTCGATCACAGACCCTTATCCTTTCTCTCTTCTGAATCGATCTCGTTTTTTTTAATCTTTTTTGATGGCAGATGTGTGTTGGCTTGCGGTATGGTGGGTTATGGTGGTCCGGTGGTGTGTGATGTGGGTGGCGTTAGAGGTGATGTTCAGGCTGGTGAACAGGGGTGGTGACGGGATGGCTGTAATGGAGGTAAAAGGTGGTGGAATTGATTATGGTGGGTGGTGAAGACGGGTTGAAGGCTGTCGAATGAAGGCAGGGGAGAAGGGTGGTTTGTGGTGGGTCTAAGGGTGGAAGGTGTTGTGAGAAGGTGGATTGAGGGTTGTTTTAGAGGGTGGTTAGTGGTGGTAGAAGGAGGCTGACGGAGGTGTGTATGGTGGAGGTAATAGTGGTTTTTTTGGTGGGAGCTGTGAAGGGAGTGGGGAAGAAAGGTGAAAGAGATGAGATTTAAGGTGGGAATGGAAATGGTGGAGACTCGAGTAGAAAGGTTCAGGCTCCAAAATGAGTTAAACTAGAAACTTGCTAAAATCTTGATGGAGCTTTGTCTCTTCCCTTTTTTCTTATCTCCTCAAATGCAATATAGCAATAAACCTCTTTTTTCTTGTCTCCTCAAATACGATCCTAAATGATTTGACTATTTTGGAATTTTCTTTTGTCCCATTTGATAGCTTTGTTTCCAAGAAGCATAAACATTTAATTGGAATCTTTATTTGCTCCACTTAAAAATGAACTGATTTGGAAAGGTTTAGATATGGTTTTTTAGCCCCCTGAACAAACAGCTCACAAAGCTGCCATGCAGCCCAATAGAACACATCTTAGCAGCCCACTTTGTGAAATTATAGCAGCCCATATAACAGCCCAACTTCCATTTCTCTAGCAGCACACGAAGAAAATTCAGCAGCCCTAGGGTGTCTCATATATTTTCCCATTTTTTATTTTTGTAGATAATTAATAATATCACAGATATTATTTTCTAGATATTATTATGTTGTAATTTATTTCCTTTAGATTAATTAGGTTAATATTTGTATTAATACTTTGATTATGGATGGAGTTTTTGGGGCAATAAGAAATATCGATTTCGAGAAACTTTGGTTATCTCCGTTCGATAATCAGTGTTGGTATAATTTTCTATCAGTTTTTTTGTTATTATTAGTATGAGTAGTTAGTTTTTATTCTCAATATTGGGTGAATCTATAGAATGATTAAATGATTATGAGCAATTTTGTGTGAGTTTTATGGTATTTTAAGAAAATATTTTGACTCCTCTTGGATTTGGTGACTTTTAAATCTTAATATTAGTTAATTTTCATTAATTACATGCTTTATGGAAATTGTGACTTTAACTAAGAAAATGGTTATGAGCTTTTCTAACCATTGTATTAAAAAGGAAAAGTCTAGGCGATCTCAAGTTTTTTAGATTGTTATAGCCAAATTAAGATCCATCAAACCCATTGCACCACAAGATTATGATAATTAGTTAAATAGTTGAACTTGCGATTCATCCTAACATTGGAATGTTTTTGTTTTTATAAATTATATATATATATATATATATATATATATATATTGCATTTTAGTATTTTTGTAAGTTAGTTTTTATCACGTTTAATATTTTGAGAAAAACCCATATCATTTTATATTTTTATTATGTATAAACTAAACGCATAGATTTCATTCGAACCAATATTTGTGGATTCGATTCAATGGAGAGTTTATGTTGAGCTTTGGAGGGTCACTTGACCCACCTATTTTTTTTTTAATTTTATACAAAGGTATGTACAATTAAAATTATTGACCCATCTTAAATAACTTTAGTGAACTACCTAAGTATTTTTGACAACTAAAATACATGTATTTTTATAGCTCATACTTTATATTTTAACAGTCCAATCTAATATAAATAGCCCAATACAACTTAAATTTAATAAAAAAAAAACAATAACCGTGTGAAGGCAAAACGACGTTTCCTCTCCAAGCCTCACAGTTAACGAGCGATCACCATCAGTCATCACTCTCAACCCATCTGCCTTCTCAATTGCCAATCGACATGACTCTCAGGTGTGTCGGTGCCACCGCCAGAAGTCGTCGTCCGCCCCTCCGTCATTAGTAATGATACAATTATAAAAATATATCAAGATATAAGACCTTGTCGGATACAACTGTAAAAATTTTAAATATTTTTTGGCTTATACGACTTGACACGATTCGAACCCGCAACTAGTACTGTTTGATTTTTTTCCCACCGGTTTCATTTTCTAGACTCGCCACTGATTTGATTCATATTACCGCTACTACAATTCATTTTTGGATTTCGTGTGATGAAAATCAACTATCACCGATATCTGTCGAATAGACGATGAGGACCTAAGAAACTTATGCGAACTTGTAAAAACAAGTAAATAAGCTGTCAATTCGTTTCAAAATTTTGGAATTTATAACAAGAAACCCAACTCTCACCAACCTATTGAATAGGCGATGAAGGACCCACCAAAGCAGGTTGATCCTAACCGAAAGGGAAAAAGAAACATCAACAAGGAGATTTGAAATCCATACTGAAATTTAACATAAATTTGTCTTTTTAATATGTAAAAAATTTTAAAATTGAGGGTAAAAATATGTTTTTTTTAAATCAATTAGTGATTGTAAAACGGGCTCTAAATGCATCCCCAAACTTTAAACATCGATCGTCTCGAGCAATAAAAAAAGAATTAAACATTAATTACAAAATATTCCCTAATGGCATACTATCTCCAAAATAATTTGATTTTCCTTAAACAGGCACCAATGATGATTGATTTATCATTTAGCTCATCTTGATCACCAACTAACAAATAACGTATATACACTCAAGAAAATCATCAAAACAAACAAAACACACAAAAAAAAAGGAGTAAACTAACAATACATAAATGAAAATAAATGTTTTTTTTTTATTTTTTTTAATTTTTAATTTTAAATTCCTTATTTTTTTAAACAAAAACAAAAACAAACTAAAAAGTACAATATAAATATAAATAATCAAATTACTCTTCTAGCGACTTCAAATGAAGCCAAATCACTTCTATGTTTTATCCTCTAAATTGACACTTTACTCGTTATTTGTGCACGGAAAACATTTTTTCATTTCTCTTTTCAAAATATCGTTGTCATGCCATTTCTCATCCCTAAACTTTTGAATTTTGGTATTTTAAGATTTTGCATTTTAAGCTCCTCATGTTTCAACAATTGTTTCACTATTTTCATCCCAACCTTCTTTAATTGTTCTAAAGGCTGCTTCAGCTCTAAAACATATGCCTTTTCAGGGGATAGCAAAACTGATTCAATCACACTAACATTCAAGTCATGCTTCTTTTTGACCCGACTCATTGTTTTTTAACCGTCTGCTCTCTATTTTTTCTCAATGTCACGAGTGATCTTATTCCAGTGAGCCTCTTTCAAATTTACTAGTCCATTTGTAACTCTTATAAATGACCATTCTTCTACATTAGAAGATTGTTTGATAGCCTTAAACATATTAAAAGTCTTTTGATCATCATTTAGGTGCTGTTTGTTTTTTATCTGCAGATCTGCGTGAGCTCTTCTGTCTGCGCCGCACAGACCACGCGCAGACATAGGACTTTGCAGTGTGTTTGTTTTTTAGAAGTCCATAGACATAAAAATGTATGCGCATGGTCTTCTTGGTGCAGACTTGGCCTTGTGTCTTCTCACCTCTTCACGCCTATTCAAAACCTAAAAACCAAAAAAAAACGCTCTCAACACATCGACGTTTCCCTCGTTCTCAACTATCACCGCCTCCTTCCTTCATCATTCATCGTCTTCTCCCTACCCTTTCTTCCGTCTCCGTCCTCCTCTTCTTTTCGCCGACGACCAGAACAGGTACCATCTACAACCATCGACGACCAGAACTTGCGCCGTCCAGATCTTCCCCCGTCGACTTTAGGTAACACTTCTCTTCTCCTTCTCCTTTTCCCCACATGTAAGCATCTCCATCTTCTTGCTGCCAAGGTCTGAAATCGGCTACTAAGGTTGTATCTTTCTAATTTCCTGCTCCATATTTCTTGATGCTAGAGTGCTAGGTTCCAAAATCCTTTCTCTTTGTTTAATTTCATTTTGAATGATTCAATCACAGGGATGAATAATTTCTTGGTTTAATTTCGTTCTTTGATGATTCAACCAAGGTTTTGTTTTTCTTCAATTTGTTTGTACTTTTACATGCACAGAAAGTGTTTGAAGAAATGCTAGAATGAAATGTTCTTTTTTCAATTAAAGACAAATTATTTGATTCAAATGATAAATTGTCTATTGATGTTGAAACTGTTGATTTTTAATTACAAAACTAATGAATTTCATGCTTATTTGACAAAAATATTATTAGTTGTATCAAGTTTGATGAAGTTGTTTTTCAAGTTATAAGAAAACATGTGTTGTTAACTTCTAGTTGTTGCTCTGTGCATACTTCATCCTCAAAAGATTAGTACAAATGAAAAGCTTATTAGGTATGCAGGGAATCCTCATGAAAAGCTTCACAAATCCAAGGCTAAAAAAGAAAAAGAAAAAATAAAGATGACAAGAAGGTTATAAGCTTTTTGCATTTTTGTATCTTTATTATGAAAGCTTCATATATGTTTGGTTTTTAATTTTATATGTTTTTTTTTGCAAAACCATTTTGTATAGTGACTTAACATTTTTGTAATTTAAAAACGGTTCGAATCAATTAATTGTTTTTATTGATGTATGAATATTGTTTTGAATTTGCAATTATTGAAAAGAGTGATTGAGAAAATGAAAAATCCTTTTAAGTTAAAAATGATTTATTTAAATTCCGGTTTCTTTTAACATCCTGCAGACATTAAAAAAACAAACAATCTTCTTCTAACAGACTGCAGACGTTTAGTCCATCTCTTCTTCTACAGATGTCTGCAGATGTGGTCCGCAGACTGCAGACGTTTTACCTCTTAAAAAACAAACAACACCTTACTCTCAGTATAATCTCTCCCTTTTTTGACATCAATCAATCCTTCAGCAGTCGCCAAAAATGGTCTTCCCAAAATTATTCCACAATCAACTTTAACTTCATAATCCAAGATGATAAAATCAGCTAGAATGAAAAGATTATTAACCTTGATGATGATAACCTCTATTTTACCTTCTAGATAGACTATCAATCGGTTAGCTAACTAGAGTGAAAAATGGTCGGTCTAGCTTCACCTAGTCCTATTTTTTGAAAAATTGACAAAGGAATCAAATTTATACTTACACCCAGGTCACACAATCCTATCTTGTCAAAGTTTCTAATTTTTCACGTTAAAATGAAACTACATGGATCATCTTTCTTGACAGGTAATTTGTTTTTGATAATTGATGTGCAACTTTTCGTCATTGAAAACGATCTCAAAATAAAACTTCCTTCATGAACTTGGAATATGTAGACATTTGTTTTAAAGCTTCAACAAAAGGAATGTAGATATGGAGTTGAGAGAGTATCTCAAGAAACTTCTTGAATTGCCTTACATCGTCCTTGGACTTACTTTGCTTAGGTAGGAAAGGCAAAGCAAGTGCTATTGTCACACCAATTCGGGCCTTTTTTCTTGGGCTTTATTTTGATTTCTGATACTTGAACTTGGATTTGTGGACCTTGTTCACTCACTTTCTTATGTTCGTACTCCTTATCGATCTCGTCTTCTATCTCTATCGATCTCGTCTTCTATATCTATGTACTCTTTATTTTGATATAGATAGGTTCCTATTATATGTACCCTCACTCACATAAAAAAAAATGTTCGATTTTATCCTTTTATCAACAAGTTTTTTAGGTTACCATTATATTAACGTTGAAAAAAAATCCTTTAAGTTTATAGTTTTTTTACGTTTTACCTTTAAGTTTATAATTTTTTTTATGATTCTACACTAAGTATTTTTTATATTCTACCTAAAAAGAACGTGAATACAATAATTAATTTAATATTTTTTTCGTATATAAATATGATTTTTCTGCATAAATACGTATAATATAAAAAAAATACTTAGGGTAAAAATATAAAAAAAAATAATAAACTTAAGAGTAAAAACATAAAATTAATAATAATAATAATAAACGCTATAAACTTAAGGGTATTTTTTTTATCAAAGTTAATATAATGGTAAACTGAAAAACTTCTTATTCACCGGTAAAAATGTAAAACCGAATATATTTTAGAAAATATGAAAACAAAAACAGATATAAAATTCAATTTTAAACAAAACCGATAAAAACCTAAAACTTGAAGATTTTTATTACATTACCTTTTTTATTCCTCCTAAATCCTATTTTCACAATTATTTGGTAAATAAATATGACAGTACAGTTAAGGAGTAAATACTTTTTCTATATACTATATTTTTGTACAAAAAAAACTCGTGTAACTTGTACTGATACAACAAACCAACATCACACACCACCAACATTTAGCCACTTTTACAATCTCCACACAAATATTTACAAATCCTCCAAAAAAAATTATAAAAAATCCTTTATATATATTTCTCCCCACCACGTCCACTTCTACTTATAACTGTCTTCGTATACACTCGATGTCTCCTCTCCCTCCCATAAATCACCCAGAAAACCAGCGACAGCATCACGGCCAACGACACCATCAGCAGCCCAACGTAGATCCAGTTCAGGTAGCGGCACAGCCCCGGACAGTGATCCCGGGAGATGTCCGTGAAAGTTTGCCGGACGAAAGTACAGTCTTGAAGATCCACCAAGAATGGTCCATAAAGGTACAACGAATAGCTCAGCTCTATTCCGGCAGACATTTGGCTGAACGATTCCGGTGTAAGGCGGCCGGTGGTGGTGCACGCTCCGGAGGGTGAAACTTGACAAACGAATTTACTGTATACCTGTGAGCCATCGCTCAATGGAACTTCACCGGAGTCACATTTCCGATCAGTGAGGTCGGAGTTGAACGGGTTGCAAAGGGTTGGCATCGGCGGACCAGACTGGTTGTAGTACAGCGGCGCAAAATTCGCCGGAAAGTTGCCGTTTGTGACGTTTCTGACGGCTTGGTTGATCACAGTTACGAGCTGAGACGTGACTTCTTTGGTTCTCTTTTCGGTTTCTTGAGCTGTGACATTGTCTACACATGGAAGAATATCGTCTAGATTCGTGTGAGCCGTTGGATTCTCGACCCATTGATTCATCGCCTCACAGCTGTCCGCAGTCACACTGATGAAAGAAATACGTTAATTCATGAAACCCATGCAAAAGTACAACCATTAATGCATAAGGTACAAGTTGGTAAGCTTACTTTTGTAGACAAAGGAATACACCGCAGAGTATAAACGTTATCGTGATGAAAACCCATCCGAATAACACCAATCTGCAACGATTTTAACGCATTTTGTTGTGAAAAAAAACACATCTTTTAAGCTTTAAACATCAGATTAATATAACGAAGAAAGCATTACTCACGTGTAAACCATGCATTGCATGCCAAGAATCGAAAAGACTACAACAAAACATTAAAAAAACGTCACGAAAAGTCGAAAACAAATTAAGTGAATCAAAGAATTAAGCTTACTGAATCCAAGAAACGTCCATAACAACATAACAGCAGATATAACAATCAATGCAATGCTCCTACAAGAACACATAAGTGAATATAATTAAAACGTCTGAATGAAAAGAAATTTACGATTTTAAGAATTGAAGAAACATACACAGATTCAAGGATATCGTGGATGTCTTCTTTATTCTCTTTGGTTCTTTCTGAAAGTTCAACAGCTGAAGCATTAAGCTTTGTTTGTATCTCATCGATGTCAGCTTGAACATCAACAGGCAAGAACACTTGTGCAACAGCGATATTCTTAGCGGAAGCAAGATCATCAGAGACGTTTCGAAGCCTTTTAGCAGTTATATCCGCTTGATTCACGATATACCTCAATGTTTTCGTTGTAGTTTGATGAAATTTACCTTGACCCGTGTATAAAACAATGCATCCAACACTGATCGATAATGATTAGAGAAAATCAAAAGATTGTTGATATGGAATTGTAAAATGGAAACGAAAGATTGATTACATTGCCATGATTGTGAAGAGGATTAGAAGAACGAGAGATACGGTGTAGGCTGTTTTTGAATAGCCGTATGATTCTTTCCGGCAACAACAGTAGCAAAGACATATTAGAGATAGGGATAGACCGAAGATCACGAACCAGGCTGCCGCCACCACGAAGAAGGGCGCCGCCGTGAACGCCACCGACTGAATCCGGTCAAAGGTTAGAACAAAAAAGACACATTTAGGAGGATATTTAATTTTTCTTTCTTGAATTGTTATTGATTAGTATTATATATAAGGATAAGGATCTTCACTTCGTATGCATGTTTACATGAAATCAAGATTCTTAAATAAACCCAAAATATTTATATCATAATGGGATTTTCAATATAATTCTGGATAATGGGAACAAGATTAATGGGTTTTAGTCACCAATTTCAAATTTTTGAGATTACAATTGATTTGATTCGAATAGAAAAACATGAAATTAGAAATATGAATCGCGTAAAAAGGAGATAAAGAATCAAGAAACTTACAGCCCAATAATGGCGCTCTTTGATGTTCCATCCTCCTCTATATTTCTTAAATTTATCAAGAGGATCTTTTCTTGTTGTTCTTTCTTGAGCCAAAACAAGTGATTTATTTCCATTCTTTTGTTCATCACCAAGCAATCTCCTGCTCACCCATGAATTGAATTTTCCTGAAAAATCGAAAGAAAACATTTTTATCCCCTTGAAAAACCCACAAGAAATTTGGTAAATAAAACCGATTATTGGGTGAATCAATGATAAATAGAGAACATGATCAAGAAACATATGAAGAACCTGAAGTGGGTGTTGATCGAGAGATTCGATAATGGGATTCTCCATTTGATAAAAGGAAAAAAAGGGCAAGAAAAAGAAGAAGAAAAGAGAATGGATATGAAGGTTTTTTTAGCATTATGATTTTAAAAGCTCTGTTTTTTTGGGTATGAAGAAGGTGTGCTTTCAAGAACACACTTGAGCCATAGAATATATTTGGGGCCGAAATTTCCTCCAACAAATGATTTTTTGTAGGGATTTTAGAAGTAATGAAGGTTTTTCCTTCACACACACATTGTGTGTATGAAGGAGAGAGAAATAGAGTGAGAGAGAAGAGAGGGAAGAAACAGTGTGGAATTAGAACTGTTCAAATAGTATGTTAAGGAGTGAAGAAAGTGCTTGTGACAAAAGTAGCCCCTCAACTTTGAAAGAATGGCAAATTCTGTTTTGGATGTTAGGCTTCTTTTCAATTAAAAACGTTATCGGTTTTTACGTTATATATTAATTAAATCATTATAATATAATGAATGGATTGTTATAATAGATATTTCATGTTTGAAATGAAATATCACAATATGTATATGTAAGTTAGTTATTATTAAAAACACACATTATTTTTAGTTTAAATAGAAAAACAACGTATACTAATATTGTGGTTGTGGGCTTTTGACTGTGGTTCACTGGTTTGTGGCGTTTTGAAATTTTGTTTGGGCCTCAAAAAGTTTCGAACTCTTGCTAATATCATTTTTATTTCTGTTAATTGATTTAGTCGTTGGGCTCAATCGTTGGGCTCATTATTCAATCAAATAATATTTTGTACATTTGATATAAAATGGGTGGGTAATTCTTAAATAGCATCAAAAAATATATTTGTTTATAGTTTTTTTTAAATGAAATAGTTTATGAAGTTTAAAGAAATTGAGTATATTTTGCAGAACTTTCAGTCTCTTGGACCGTTTTTTATTTATTTTTGTCTGAATTAACCCATTACACTCGTAAAAGATAAAAATTGATAAATATCTACATAAACTAGTGATACTTTCATGCTTTGTTCATAATACATGATGCATGTGAATCTTGAGAAACATGTTTTAAATACTGTGGATTTATAGAATTTTATTAAAACATAATTTATAATAGGGTTAAAAGATTTTATTTATTTATTAAAAGACTATCAAATCTAATCAAATCAGTAGTTTCGTTTCCAATTCCTATCATATGTCACTTTTTCGTGTGTGGTATAGAAGTTTGACACTATAATTTTGCATGAGCCGGAGAGAAGAAAAGTCAAATTGTAACAACTTATAAACAACAATCATCAAATCATGTGTTGTAAAGATCGGTTACAATTAAGGAGATAAATTAGGAGGAATAGCAGGAGGAAAAAAGTTGCAGAAAATGGAAAATCAAAGAGGTAAAGAAAATATTAAGGGAAAAAAAAAAAAAAAAAACTAAGTGAGATAAAAGGATGAGAGAAGCCTTCCACCGAGAAGCAATGCCAGCAGACGGAGACTATAAGGAGAGTGGTGACATGCAAAGTTGCACACATTCTTCTCCGTTTGTGGTTTCTTTTCCTTGACTCGCATACGTGTTTTTATATTTATTTTCATTTGTCAACGCTTTGATGATTCGACAATGTTAGGGTTACTGTGAATCTGTGATCTTTAGGACCTTTCATGACTTGTCTATGTCACATTATCTTTATTATATTTTTTTTATAAATATAAATAATGGTAAAATTACTTTTGTCTCGAACTTAAATGTAACTACAGGGTTAAAGTGTATAAACTTTTATATATTGATTGATTTAACTGTCCTTTATGTACACATGTGTTAGACAATTTTTTTTTCTTCTTTTGTTAGCATCATCGTTTTCCCTAAGTGTTATTTTTTATTTATTTAATTAGTTTTTAATTGAAACTTTTGATATGAGTGTAATACTTTTTTCAATTATAATATACTTCTTTGCTTTTTATCTTTATATTACTATAATTGTTATACGATTAGGATATGAAATTATGTAAACAAGATATATGTATAACGTGTGTTAAAATATTATTTATATATCGTTTATAATAAATTTATTAGTTAGTGTTCTCCCTGATGAATTATATATATATATATCTATATATATATATATATATATATTATAATATATATATCTATATATATATATATATATATATATATTACTCTTACTGATTTTCAGCCCCCCCCCTTCTATTATTGTTTGTATTCCGCCCTCAGATATGGAAATAGCAATCTTAAAAATTAATTGTTGGTTTAGTTTATGCATGGCGAAAGGGGGCATTGGAATGGTCTTAGCTCCTGAATATTTGGACAATAAAAAGAAAAAAGAAAAAAATTGAGATAGTTATGAATTCCATTTGAGTTCCCCTTATTTGATCGAAAAACCCAAAATTCGGTTATTTCAACTACATTAAATGATCTTTCAAATTGGTCAAGACACTCTAGTTTATGGCCGCTTCTCTATGGTACCAATTGTTGCTTCACTATTAGGCTCACGATTCGACTTTGATCGTTATGGACTAGTACCAAGGTCGAGTACTAGACAAGCGAACCTTATTTTAACAGACGATAACATTATAATGAAATTGACCTCATAATCAAGTGAAGTCTCTAAACTTAAACCGAACAAAACAATCATAAGGGTGATATTACAATTATCAATATTTTAAACTCATAGCATCTTTAATGGGAACTTATTTCAGAAGTTTTTTTTTTATTGATTCATCATTTATTTTCATTTAATACCATTGGAGTTGGTTGTTTTTTTGTGTATTTATATTGATCACTCAATATATATATATATATATATATATATATATATATATATATATATATCATTTCATACTATACTTATAAAGGAGACATTCTTCTTTGAACCTCATGCATTTGAAACCCCCACAAAATTTTGCAAACACCTCATGCTTTGAAACCTCCTATTTTAATGAATATCACTCAAAAGTCTTTTAATAATGATCAACAATTCAAAGGTTTTATAACTTATATAATATATTTAATAAACAATTAATAGATACTCTACTATAAAAATGAAGCATTTTTCCTTTCATCATATTCATTTGAAACTCTCATGTATTTTTCCTTTCACCACATTCATTTGAAACTCTCATGACTTTTCAATTTCTTTCTAATAATAATTATAATTTGGTTAATTAGGTTAAATAAATATCAAACCAAAAGTGTAATCATATATAAACTAAATTTCAATATTAAAATAATATCTTTACTTCTACTTATAAAGTTATGTTTTTTAACTTTTAACATATTATACTTAATTTATTAGTTTTAATATATTGTTAGATGTAAACCATTATCATTTTAAAGAAACAATTTTGGAATAATTTGTATATAATACTTAAATTATCAATTTAAATATAACATTAGAGGGTCAACTTAAATATAAATTTTAGTTTAACTTACACAACCCAAATAATATTTTGTAAATAATTAAAAGTGATAAATTGTAGTGTCTTTCTAATAATGATAATAAGTTGGTTAATAAGGTTACATAAATATCAAACCTAAAGTGTAATCATAAATAAACTAAATTTTAATTTTAAAATAATATTTTTACTTCTACTTATAAAGTTATGTCTTTAACTTTCAACATATTATACTTAATTTATTAGATTTAATATGTTATTATATGTAAACCATTATTAGTTTAAAGCTGCAACTTTTGAACAGTGTAGACAAAATACTTAAATTGTTAACTTAAATATAACATTACAATATCAACTTAAATATAAATTTCAATTCCACTTCAAAAACCACATAATATTTTGTAAATAGTTAAAAGGGATAAATTGATAAATGTAAAAACTAAATTGTAATCTCAATTTAACTAAAATATTTCTTAAAGATATTTTTATAATCGTTAAAAGTTTTCAAATAAGTAGCTTAAAATGACTTAGAATAACAATAATTAAAAATAACTCTATATAAATGATTATATTGTTACCTTTAAAATCAAAAAATAATATTTGATGTTTTAAATAATTATAATGAAAGAAATTAAAACATTAAGCAAATAAATTTTAAAAAATTAATTAACAATAACAAAAACTATAAATAACATTAAACCATATATTATATTTAATTTTATTCATGTGTAACTCGCGGGTAGAAGTCATTCAAACGATTGAGATCATGAAGTTATAATAAATGTATATATTATCATACAATTCAAAATAATCAATATATTATATCAATTTAGTATACGAATTATTAAATCAAATTTAACAACAACATTATTGTTATATTAGAAAAAACATATATTTGTAAAGACTTCAACTATATAGGTGTTATCGTGCATTACAATGTCAACTTAACTATAAATTTCAGTTCACTTAAAAAACCAAAGAATATTTTGTAAATAGTTAAAAGTGATAAATTGTAGTGATAAATACAAAAACTAAATTGTAATCTCAATTTAACTAAAATATTTCCTAAATATATTTTTATAATCGTTAAAAGTTTCCAAATAAGTAGCTTAAAATAACTTACAGTAACAATAGTTAAAATAACTCTATATAAATAATTATATTGTTACCTTTAAAATCAAAAAATAATGTTTGATGTTTTAAATAATTATAATGATAGAAATTAAAACATTAAGCAAATAAATTTTAAAAAATTAATTAACAATAACAACAACTATAAATAACATTAAACCATATATTATATTTAATTTTATTCATGTGTAACTCGCGGGTGGAAGTCATTCAAACGATTGAGATTATGACGTTATAATAGATGTATATATATTATCATATAATTCAAAATAATCAATGTATTATATCAATTTAGTATACAAATTATTATCTCAAACTTAACAACAACGTTATTGTTATATTGAAAAAAAAAACATATATTTGTAAGGACTTCAACTATATAGGTGTTTATGCGCAACGCGCGGGCATTCGCCTAGTATATATATATATATATATATTATATATATATATATATATATATATAATATATATATATATATATATATCTATATATATATATATATATATATAGAGAGAGAGAGAGAGAGAGAGAGAGAGGGAGATAGAGAGAGAGAGTTAGGTTCAAGTGTTTAAAGTAATTATTGTGTTATTGTATGCATAAATATGGACAATCAAAATTTAAAATATAAATAAATAATTAAATAAATAAATAAGGGTAATTAGGTAATTTTATAAACAACTTCCCCAAATACTTTCCTATAATTATGCTAGTTGATTTTAACCTAATTTATCCCCTTTTAATTACCACCGATGTATTTGTACATCGATGAA